CTGCCTTACAGAGAAGCAAATCATACTTATGTGAATAATATATGTATTCAGCTGTCTCCTCCTCCATGGGAGAAAAGTTTGAAATTACCAATCTATGGATTAGTTTATGATCACCTATTGACCATTTAGTTTCCAAATATCCTGATCCAAATTTTCTGGCATGAAAAGTTTCAACTAGAACAAGAATCTACTAAGAGCTGCCAGATATTGATAAAAGTTTTTCAGATTGCTTAAAATAATGCTTTAAAATATTACATTAAATAATTTTACAATTCCACCTTATATTTATGCTAGTGAATGCTAACTTAATTATGACACAAGAGTGTTATTCTCTATCTTGGGAAAGAGATGGAGAATTGAATTTATCCAAAATCAGTTGTGGGCAATGGTGACATTTACTTCAGTGAAATTGCAGTTCTGACATGTCTTCCCTTTATCTCTCTCTGGTCAGTTAGCTAGAGATAAGCTTGGTGTTTGGAAGGACAATTTAATATATTGAATGTTAACCCATAAAACAGACTATTGCCCAGGTATCTAATATACTATCCATCTACCTGACTACAATACATTAATTTTGAACAGGCTGTCTTCTAGATTATGTCCAAGGTATTATCATTAAATTATCTCATTGGTTAACCTATATCCTATGAGATCAGCTGTGTATTCATACAGTCTGGCAATCCTGGCAATGCACTTAGAAGTTAATCCTATCATATTTTTATCACAATGCCAAAGAGGTAGAGCCAGATGTGCAATGGTTGGAGTTTCTTTTCTGCTCTCCTCTTTCAATCCCCAACTCTGAGCTAAGGAATAAAGGCAAGGCTGACACATATGGAGAGAAATTTGGCAAATACCCTGATATTCAGATCTATAAAAGCAACCAAACCAGATAAGTGATCTCCAAAATGGATTTTTTGTTTGTAGTAGGAGTGCTGAAATGATCTGGTTGTCTATCTATGATAAATTGAGTAACTTTGGAAATTCCAAAACTTATTTCCTTGGAGTAAACATTAACTGGGGCTATTTACTCCAGGCACCATTAGTTTTCTGAAGAGCCACTTAACAACATGTCATTTTCAAATCAGAAAAGTACTAATTTATTTCCTTTAACATAAAATTTCATCACCATCTTTAGCACTGTTACTGTGTACCTACTATGTGGATGACACTGTATACAAATGGTCTCTTCTGATTCTCACAACAGTCCCAGTAAGCTGGTATTATTATTAACCCCAATCCTATATAATAAAAGCATAGTATGCAAATTGTTCCCTCGACTGAGAGTTGGTCTGGAAGTTTGACCAGGAGGCAGGGCCAGCCGGGGGAAGGGAGGGAGGCCCGGACCAGCAGCTGGCAGCTGGTAAGGACCCTGCCAGTGCATGAATTTTGTGCACTGGGCTCTAGTATACAAATAAAGGAACTGAGTCTCAGAGGGGTTAAGCAAATTTCCTAAGGCCACAAAGGTAATAAGTGATAAGCCTATGGGAAACCAGATTCATCTTGATTACAAAGTAATCACATTCTACCATACTCACATGATGTTAATGTAAAATACATTCAAACCTGTAAAAAACTTTTGTGAGTTTATTTGAGCCAAACTGTCTACAATTGCCAGTAAACAGTATCTCAATGCATGGGACGTTTCTCATCTATTTTTATATATTGCAAGCAAAGGAAGGGATGTAGGTGGGTTACATGGATCCATTCGTGGAAGATTAGAGAGGCGGGAGAAAGCTTGAGGGCAGGGTGGGGGCGGGGGGGGGGGAGAGGAACCCCTAGGATTGGATAAAAAGTAAAATGCTAGACACATACTTAGGTGGGTGCAGGAACAATTAACATGATAACAGTGAAGAAATCTGTGGTATCAGTTCTGGTGCCCAGGCTCATTAGGTTGTGCCCCAAGGGGTCTAGAAAAAGGGAAGTTACAAGTTACCCAGACATTTCAAGAATATGTTATTACAGATGCAAAAAGACACATAGGCTCAGTTAAGGTAAAGGTTGACCTTATCAGTGAAGATACTGGCCTAAGAACTACCCACCATAACTGCTTTTAGTTAAAGTTTAATTTCAGACCATCCTTTATGGTTACTTTAGGTCTCTGAGTTTGCAAGACCACCATGCAGGCCTTCCTTTAGCTTGTCAGGTTAGCATGTGGCCCTTTTTTCCCAGAGCTATTATTTGTGGTATCACATTGGTTTTGTCACCTTTTTAAAATGCTTTGCAAATTCTAGTGTTTATGTGAGAGTTAACTATTCTATCTTTGGTTGAAGATTTTATTGTTTTATAAGTTTAAAAAGATATTAACTTGCCTGGGTGGTTTTGCTCAGTGTTTCAGCATCAACTTATAAACCCATCATAGACTCATCTTTAATTAAAAAGTTTAATTTCAGACCATTCTTTGTGGTTACTGAGCTTGCCAGACTGCCATGCAGGTTCCCTGAGCTTCTCAGGTTAGCATGCGGCCCCTTTCACCCACAATGTGAAATTATCAAAGAATATAAAAATAACATTTTCACTGAATTCTGAATTTTTAGAATCTACTTCCCACTTGAGGGAACAGTTTCTTTGGTTCAACAGATCCTTGAAAGATGAGGCAGCTATTGGACAGTAAGCACATACAACAACTAATCAGAGTGTGTGTTCCCTGGGTTTGTCTGGCTGGGTAGGAAGGAATAAGTCCATTCAAAATGTAAAATAAAATAAGCAAACACAAACCATTAAATCACATTGCTGTTAACTGAAGTTTCAGCCTCTAAAGAGGTTTTGTTTCAAAACAGTTGACAGAGAAATACCTATCTACTGAACCAATTAAAAAATTATCTTTATTGTTCAAAGTATTGATACTAAGATGTCCCTTTTGTTTGTTTGTGTTTTTCTCCTAATTGGCCCTCTCCACCCCACACCCGCCCCTCCCAAGCCTTCAACACTATTTTCTGAGTTCATGCGCTATCCATTTATGCATATAAATTCTAATTTTAAGCACTCCCCACCCACCCCTCTTCAGCCTTTCATCTGAGATTCCACAGTCTGTTCCATAATCTCTGGTTCTATTTTGTTCATCAGTTTATTTTGTTCATTAGATTCCACATGTGAATGAGATCACGTGATATTTATCTGTCTTTGACTGACTTATTTCACTTAGCATAATACTCTCCAGGTCCATCCATGCTGTTGCAAATGGTAAGAGTTCTTTCATTTTTACATCATATAGATTACCACAACTTTTTTATCCACTCATCTGCTGATGGGAACTAGGGCTGTTTCCAAATATTAGCTCTTATAAATTGCAATTCTATGAACATATGGTTATATATATTCTTTCTGATTGGTGTTTCTAGTTTCATAGGATATATTCTTAGAAGTGGGATCATTGGGTCAAATGCGAGTTCCATTTTTAAAAATATATTTTTATTGATTTAAGGAAGGGAGAAGGAGAAAGAAAGAGAGAGAAACATCAATGATGAGAGAGAATCAATTGGCCACCTCCTGCATGTCCCCCACTGGGGATTGAGCCTATAACCCAGGTATGTGCCCTGTCAGGAAATCAAACCATGAACCCGTTGGTTCACAAGCAAATGCTCAACTCAACCACTGAGTCATGCTGTATGGGCATGAAAGTTACATTTTTAATTTTTTGAGGAAACTCCACACTGTTTCCCACAATGGCTGCACTATTCTGCATTCCCACCAGCATTGCAATAGGATTCCCTTTTCTCCACATCCTCACCAACACTTGTCCTTTGTTGATTTGTTGATGATAGCCATTCTGACAGGTGTGAGGTGATACCTCATTCTCATTTTAATTTGACAGAGGAAATCTCTTGGATGATTAGTGACTTTGAGCATTTTTCATATGCCTCTTTGCCTTCTGGATTTTCACTTTGGAAAAGTGTCTATTTAGGTCCTTTGCCCATTTTAAATTGAATTGTTCATCTCAATTTGTTAAATTGTATGAGTTCTTTATATATTTTGGAAATTAACTCCTTATCAGATGTATCATTGGAAAATATGTTCTCTCATGTAGGGGTAGGTTCAATTCCTACAATTCTAGAAATAAGGGGGCTTAAACTCCTATGATTTACTCTATCAAAGTAACTCTTTTATCAGACATATTTCTATGTTTGGGGAGGAATGCTTGCTAGGATAATAGGAAGTGTAACATGTCATATGCATATTACCAAAGTGAGGGGCAGGAAATTTTTTCATAGTAGGTGTATTAACTGATCATATCGGAATCGAGGGTATGATGCTCGGATTCATAGAAAAAAGGTTGTAAATAGGAGAGCTTTTGTGATGAAGTTGATAGTGTATATTTCGGGGAATATTGAATTATTATAGGCTCCTAGGAATAGAATAATTGTTAGGGCATTTATTATAATGATGTTGGCATATTCTGCAAGGAAAAATAGAGCAAAGGGTCCTCCTGCGTATTCGACGTTAAACCCCGATACGAGTTCTGATTCCCCTTCTGTCAGATCAAATGGGGCCCGGTTGGTTTCAGCTAGAGTTGAGATAAATCATATTATTGCCAGGGGTCATGCTGGTAGGATTAGTCAGATATGTTCTTGGGTTGTAATTAGTGTTGGTAGTGTAAAGGAACCATTTATAAGTAGGATAGATAGAATAATAATAGCAAGGGTCACTTCATATGAGATGGTTTGGGCGACTGCTCGAAGGGCACCAATTAGTGCATATTTCGAGTTTGAGGCTCATCCTGATCATAAAATAGCATAGACAGCACAGATAGCTACTTTTAGTGTGCTTGATACCAGCTCCTTTTACCAATAGTTGGTTAAAGGGCATTCTCACAGGAGCGGGGATTCTTGCATGTGTAAGTTTATTGATAACTAATAGAAAGGCCAGGACCAAGACTTTGTGTTCATGGAGTATCTGTGAATACTCATCTAAGCATTTTCAGTGCTTTGCTTTGTGTATTAAGCTACATTAACTTTTAGACTAGAATTATTACTAGTCTATATTGTATTTAATAGTAGGATTACAGATCTGAGGAGATGTCTGTCTAAGGAAGGCGAATCTTTAAAGTAAGGGGGTGCGGCCCCACGGGTGGTTGAAAGATCATAGTATTTATTTTTGGGCAGCATTAAGCTTATAAACATTATTGTATTACTATTCTTGTTTTTGGGGTTTGGCAAGATGTTATTGGTAATTCTCTAGTGTAGGCTTAATGGGGGGTAAGGGGGGTTTGTCTTATTAATTGTCTTGTCATTTTGTTGATGGTTTTTTTTTTTTTTTTTTTTTTTGTGTGTGTGTTTTTTTTTTTTTTTTTTTTTTTTTTTTTTTTTTTTTTTTTTTTTTTTTTTTTTTTTTTTTGCTGTGCAGATGCTTTTTATTTTGATGTGGTCTGAGTTGTTTATTTTCTCCTTAGTTTCCTTTGCCCTAGGAGATGTATTGGTAAACCTATTGCTACAAGAGATGTCTGAGATTTTTCTGCCTATGGTTTCTTCTAAGATTTTATGGTTTCATGACTTACATTTAAGTATTTTATCCATTTTGAATTTATTCTTGTGCATGGTGTAAGTTGGTGGTCCAGTTTAAAATTTTTGCATGTACCTGTCCAATTTTCCCAACATCGTTTATTAAATAGCCTGTCTTGACTCCATTGGATGTCTGTGCCTCCTTTGTCAAATAGTAATTGAGCATAATGGCTTGGATTGATTTCTGGGTTCTCTGTTCTGTTCCATTGAAGTATATGTCTGTGCTGGTGCCAGTACCAGGCTGTCCTGAGCACAATGACTTTGTAGAATAACTTGATATCTGGTATGTGATTCCTCCAACTTTGTTCTTCTTTCTCAAGCTTGCTGCAGCTATTCGGGTTCTTTTTTTTTCTTTTTTTTTTTCTCCATATACATTTTTGTTGTGTTTGTTCTGTGAAATATGCTATTGGTATTTTAATAGGGATTACATTGAATCTATAGATTGCTTGGGGTAGTATGGGAATTTTAATGATGTTAATCCTTCCAATCCATAAACATGATATATACTACCATTTATTTATTCCTCTATTTCTTTTTCAATGTCCTATAGTTTTCCAACTACAGACTTTTTACCTACTTGGCTAAGTTTATTCCTAAGTATCATATCTATTTTTTTTTTTTTTTTGCAATGGTACATGGGATTTTTTGTTTGTTTGTTTGTTTGTTTGTTTGTTTCTCTTTCTGATAGTTCATTATTGGTGTATAAAAATGCCATAGATTTTGGGGTGATAATTTTGTAACCTGGTATGTTGCAAAATTCATTTATTATACCTACTAGGTTTTTAAGGTTTTCTATGTACAATATGATGTCACCTATGAATAATGGAAGTTTTACTCCCTCCTTTCTAATTTAGATGTCTATTATTTTTTCTTCTTGTCTGATCACTGTGGCTAAGATTTTCAGTATTATGTTGAATAAGAAAGTTGAAAGCAGACATTCTTTTTCCTGTCCTTACGGGAAATGGTTTTAGTTTTTGCCCATTGAATATGATGTTTGCTGTAGGTTTGTTATATATGGCCTTTATTATTTTAAGGTATGATCCCTTTATTCCCACTTTGCTGAGAGTTTTTACTCAGAAAAGTGTGTTGCAATTTGTCAAATGCTTTTTCTGCATCAATTGATATGATCATGTGATTTTTCTCTTTCAATGTGTTTGTGTGATATATCACATTTTTTGATTTTTGAATATTGTACCAGCTTTGAATCCCCAGAATAAATACCACTTGGTCATGATATATGATATTTTTAATATATGACTGGATTGGATTTGCTAATATTTTGTTGAGGATTTTAGCATCTGTGCTCATTAGGCATATTAGCTGTAATTCTCTTTCTTTGTAGTGACTTTATCTGGTTTTGGAATTAGGGTAATGCCGGCCTCATAAAAACAGATTGGAAGTGTGCTGCTATAAACATAGAGGTAGATATATCCTTTCTGATTGGTGTTTCCAGTTTGTTAGGATATATTCCTAGGAGTGGAATTACTGGGTCAAATGGGAGTTCCATTTTCAGTTCTTTGAGGAAACTCCATACTGTTCTCCACAGTGGCTGCACCAGTCTGCATTCCTACCAGCAGTGCACGAGTGTTCTTTTCTCTCCACATCTTCGCCAACACTTGTCGTTTGTTGATTTGTTGATATTGGCCATTCTGACAGGTGTGGGATGGTACTGCATTGTCGTTTTTATTTGCATCTCTCAGATAATTAGTGACTTTGACTATGTTTTCATGTGTCTCTTGGCCTTCCTTCTCTCTTCTTTTGAAAAGATTCTGTTTAGGTCCATTGCACATTGCTTTATTGGATCATTTGTCTTCATTTTATTAAGTTGTATAAGCTTCCTGTAGATGTTAAAGATTAAACCTTTATCAGTGATAACATTTGCAAAAATGTTCTCCCATACAGTGGGCTTTCTTGTTGTTTTGTTGATAGTTATTTTGCTGTGAAAAAGCTTTTTATTTTGATGTAGCCCCATTTGTTTATTTTCTCTTTAGCTTCCATTGCCCTAGGGGCAGTATCAGTAAAGATATTCTTTCAGCACATATATAATGTTTTGCTGCCTCGGATTCCTCTAGTATTTTTATGGTTTCCCATCCTATGTTTAAGTACTGAATCCATTTTGAGTTTATTTTTGTGTATGGTATAAGTTAGTGATCTAGTTTCATTTTTTTTTTTTGCATGTATCTGTCCAATTTTCCCATCACCATTAATTGAGCATAGTAATTTGGGTCAATATCTGGATTCTCTATTCTATTCCATTGGTCTGTTTGTCTGTTCTTGTGCCAGTACCAAGCTCTTTTGAGAACAGTGGCTTTGTAATACAGTTTCGAATCTGGTATTAAGATCCCACCTATTTTATCCCTCTTTCTCAGGATTTCTGTGGCTTTTCAGGGTCTTTTTTTTTAATTCCAGATTAATTTTTGGAGAGTTCCTTCTAGGTCTGTGAAATATGCTGTTGATATTTTAATGGGAAGTGCATTGAATCTATAGATTGCTTTGGGTAGTATGGACATTTTGATGATGTTGATTCTACCAATCCATGAACATGGTATGTTCTTCCATCTGCTTATGTCTTCCTCTATCTCTTTTTTCAGTGCCCTGTAGTTTTCCAAATATAGGTCTTTTACCTACTTAGTTAAATTTTTTGGTTTGATGATAAATGGAATTACTTTTTTTAGTCTCTTTTTCTTTTTTCTATCCCCCCCCCCCCATTTTTTTTATTGATCATGGTATCACATAATTGTCCTCATTCCCCCAATCCCATCCCAAACCCCTCCCTACAAATGTCCTTCCCCTCCCCCCCCCCCCCCCCCCCCCCCCCGTTGTCCATGGCCGCTGGCCAGGCTCATATGCATGCACACAAATCCTTTGGTTGATCTTTTCCCCTTTACCCCCACCCTACCCTACATTCCCTCTGAGATTTGAAAGTCTGTTCTGTGCTTCTCTTTCTCTGAGTCTCGTTTTGTTCATCAGTCTATGTTGTTCATCATTTCCTCTAGATGTGTATGATCTTGTGATCTAAGAAATACCCTTGTAAGAACCTAAACTGAGAAAAGCTATAATGGTTATGCTGAGAGGCAAATGAATCAGTCTATAGTGAGTTCCTTTCTGGACCAACAGTTCTTTTGAGTCCCAATTTCAATGTCAAATAGTTCCTTATGTATACATGTCAGCCATGCTATTTCAGATCTGGTTGGTAGCCAAACGGTAGTGATGCAGGTCAGACCATCTCTGGTTTGGTCCTGGGCATCCTTCAGCAACACGCAGCTGCTGTCTGCTGGTATGGTGAGGTGTCATCAGCATCTTCCATCTCTGAATTGTTTCTCTTCTGTCTTCATGGCTGGAGCACTTCTGTCTATTCCTCTCTGTTACAGGATTCCAGATGGTCTTGGAGTTATTTTCTGAAAATGTACAAACATATTCTTGACCAAAAGTTAATAAAGGGATATTTTCTATAAATTTTACTTGGGATCCTTTTTCTTCCTCCTACCCCCAAATGATTTTCCTCTGGCTTGTTTTGACACCATGTGTGTATTTTCATGGGTATCTTTCTGTTAGCGTTTTGAATGAAGGTTAATTTTCTGAAGTACAAATTTTTTAGATGTAAATTATTCCCAGGATATTTTTCCTTACATGATATTCTTCCACTGTCAGCCCCTTTTTTAATTTAAATAATAGGAGACTTTTGGAAAATTTATAATGTAGTCTTGATAGCTTTTACATTTTAATTAGTTGTGCTAAGCTATAACTGCTTTAGGTTCATAACATGTTATGCAATTTTACCATGAGACGCTCTGCCAATAAGAGTTTTTGTTAACACTTTAAGAACAGCTTTTTGTACAGTACAATCAGTTTTTCTAGAATATTCGCTTATTTCCATTAGCCACATTAATTTTCTCTGAGAAATTGGCTATTATTCAACATTCAAACTCAACACTCTAGCAACCATCTTATTTACCATGTGTGTATGAGTGGAATTGATTATTTGTCTTCTTGAGAAGGGCCTGAGCATTCCTGGTACTAGACTGGATTTAGATATTAAAAACCCTCTTTTCCACACCATGGGTACCAGACCTCTCAAACAAGTCTTGTTGCAGTGAGAGTGCAGCTGCTGTCAGCCAAGTCTCTGTTACCTGGGTCCCAATTTGAGCTGTGCGTGGGAAACTAAGCAGCCATGGGGGCAGGAGACCTCCCTCAGAATGGGAGAAGGTTCAGGCACCTGCCAAGTTGCAGGGTGGTGGTGGTAAGGGTCTGTGCCCCACCTCTGTTGACCCCCAAGTTCTCTCCTGATGGCCCCTCTGCGACTGTGCCTGTGTTAGGTTGTTCTTTCCCTGAGGAAGCTTACCCATCTCTGGCTAACCAGCCATCCTCCGGGGCCAAGCAGGGTCATGTGAGTTTTGGTCTGTCTTGTTGGTAGCCTATGCCCCCATAGGCTCCACGATCAGCACCTGCCTTGGGGACCCCTCACCTGCTGGTGAGGCCCGGGCGCTGATCTCATATTTTTGGGAACCCATGTTTCTTCTCCAGAGAGGGCCCAGCTCACCCCACTGGGCAGGAGAAAGATCCATGGTACCAGCCACCATGGTGCTTCAGCCTTGGCATGAGCTGAAAGGTCAGGTAACAGTTGTGGTCACCTGAATCACGAGAAGAGGGTCATTTTTGGCCAAAAGGGCAAGAACAGCCAATATAGAATGCTCAGGTGCCTTCCCAGGGGGCCCTC